ATTAGACTCACTAGGGCATGATATTTTCTCTTGTCTCTAGAAGCATTCGTTTTTATTAAGGATTATCATTGACCCTGTTTGCAATTAAAATACACTTGCCAAAGCAAATGATAAAGGTCAAATAGTGAAGGAGTATGTTCCATATGATGTATTTCTTAGGTTCTTGAATTTATGGATAAAAACCAGTATTTGGGCGTATCAATTAAGAAAAAGTTTTCTAGCATTAAGTAGGATTTATTCAAAATTGAAGCTATAGATCAAACTGGTAAAATGACATTTTAAAAGCACCTATTGGTCCATTTGGAACGAGCTTTATGCCCTCTCTTGTACACATACAAAGACATGTACAACAATATTATTAATACTTAAGGGCTAACCATGAGAGAGTTTAGCATGATATGAACAATGACTCTTCTCAAAGAATATTGGTGACGAAGAAGAGAAATAACTCTAAAGAAGTAGACATTACCTTTGTTTTGAAAAGCAGTGTTTAAAAAATGAGGCAAATAAAACACCTCAAGAATGAAATTGTTAGTAATAGGAAAACATCCTTTAAAAAATCCTTAAAAAAAATTACTGATGCTATATCTGTATACACACACATATACAGACACACACACACACATCATAAATTATATGTGTGTGCAAAGAATACTGTTTATATCTGGAAATCTACCCCACTGGAAAAAGCTACCACTGTTGTTTCCTAATTGTACTGGACTATCTCAGTGTCTGATTGGGTGTCTAGGCATGTGATCTCACACCAGGAAAGTTTATTTGGATGGCTTTCCAGTCTTATTTCCTACTTCTTTAAAAGTAACAGGAACAATGAGAAAAAGAAGTTATGCCAGTTCATGGTGCTGCTGGCTGGTGTGAAATAATAATTTTTTCTAATTAAAGGACTTCTCCAACTTACTAACTTGTTCAAGGCTCCCAGCTGCCTTTTAGTTATTTAACTGCTAAATGTTTAGTGAATAGTTTGCTATTTTAAAAACTCTTTTAAAAAAACTCTCTCCCTCATTAGATTAAGCTCAAAACATCTTAGCTGCCAAAAGAAAACTCAGCTTTAAGAAAACTTTTTCCCCACATGCTTCAACAGACCATAGGTTTTTATGCAGAACTATGAAGTAAGTTCACCAGAGAATGCCTGTTCAAGATTAAGTGGTTCAGAAATAAGCAATTTCCAGTTTCCCTCCTGCTATAAAAATTCAGGATCTTCTTTCAATGACCCCAAGCATTAATGATTTGACTTTAAGAATTCAGAGTACTTTGGGATGGACGTCTTCCTCCATAAGATTATTTTAACTCCCCAGCACACTTGGGAGTCTTCTAAAGTAACTTGACATCTTTCAGCCATCTCCTTTCCAGCATCCCTTATCTCCTGGCATTGGACCAATCATGCCCTACAGAGTCAGTTTTCACTTTTCTCCACAAATGGGTGGTATTCTCTCCTCCACATACACACTTGCCACACACACACAGCATCAAGTGATCTGATTCCTAGAAGTTGAATGCGAGTTTTACGATCTTAATAGATTGATTCAACCAACACTTTTTGAATGCCAACCACGTGTCAGAGACTCTTAGGTCTTGGAAATACAGAGGGAAATAAGAAGTGATCCTTGCCTTTAATGGTTTAGAAAGATGATTTTAAATTTCTTCACTGCTTATCTAAGGCAGCAGGTTTAACCATGGGTGGGAGGGCTTGGGTGTGTAGGAAAGCAGCATACAATATTTTCAGTCATATTTCTTTGTTCTGAGGATACATAGAACTCTATTACCCGCCATACACTTTATTATCTCCTTGCCTTTTTTAAAAATTACTTTGCTTCTACTTAGAAGCCTTTTCTATCTCCTTTTCCACTCTCAAATCCCAGATCAAATGTTACCACTTGCTTAGTTTTTCCTGACACCTTCAGTTTTACAATTGTCCCCTTGTTATATACCTGCTATTGTTCCTGGCATATTGCCTTGTAGTTATACTAGATACGTGAAAAGAGCTTTAAAATTGCCTGGTTTGTAATAAGCTCTCAAAAAATGTATATTTGAGAGAGACAGAGAGGTCTGTGTGTTTATCACATTGCCTAAACTCTGAGTTCCTTAAAGAAAGGGCAGGGTGTTGTGTTGTTGTTGTTTATTTGTTTGTATCACCATTTCTACCCTTTTGTTCAGTAGAGTGTACTTGATTGTTGAATTGGTGTGTTGAAAATTAGAGAAAATAAAAAATATGCCTGATCCGCATATTAGCCTTAAGAAGCTTGTGGTATTCACCCGCTTCTTGTTTGTAATGCAAAAATATACCCAGAGTAGCTATATTTTCTTTATTGTAATTCCTCAAGAATATTTAGATGGAGAATTTTTAGAATAATGTCCCCAAATGACTACTTTCATGAATCCTCAATGTGGATGTTTCTCTCTTACGAAATAAAGATAAAAGAATAATAACCTCTACAGAAATCCTTCATCTACAAAGCCTTGTCATATACACACTAGAGTATTTTGAAAATGTACTCTGACTGTGATTAAAGGAATGGGTGATCTGTACATTTAAATATGCCGTTATTATTTAACAGATACGGGGAAAAGCCATAGATAGTGATTACTAGTAAATAAGAGTTTTTATTAGCTTGTTTAAAAAGATGGATTCCAAACGCAAATAAGGCACATACCTATTTAACGGAAATAGCAGAAAGATTTAAGAAGCAATGAAATGTTTAAGGTGTTGATTGTTTTATTACAAATCTGAATTAATATTTAAAGAATTGTATACCATATGCCTACTTCAGCATTTTGTCTCCTTTAAATGAAACAGAGCTTAAAAAAAAAAAAAAGACCACAACAGCTAGGAAAAATTGCAAAGTCATGCTATAGAGATATATATGTTGGATATGCTGATTTATACTTACTACTATTACCATGTCATCACAACTAACTGCCGCTACTAATGTCAATAATAATGATGACAATGATAACTCCTTTTATTTGTATACTTTTACACATTGCAAGCCTTGCCACTTAACCTATTTTTGAGTCTCACAACGATCATGCCAATGAGTTTCCTTAGGAAAAATTCAAAGGTAGGAAAGTTTCATATGCAGGAAGATGTCCATTCGTGTGTTATATATAATGATGAAAAAATCAAAATATAAATGCCAAACTTTATTGGATCAATAAATATGATCAATCCATATGCTACATGGTTAAAAATATTAGTATGGAGTTTTTATGTCAGAAAGGAAAAATTATTGTGTTAGTCTGTTAGGAGGAAACAAGAATAATATATAGTTATATTTGTACTACTATTACAACTATGGACTCATTTCTGTGTATTTGAACAAGGCCTCAATGGTAACGTGGTCAAATATAAAGTTTGTTATCATGACATATAGCACAGCAGTAAAGTGTTTGAATTATTTTAGATTTTCAGTAACACTGGTATTGTTCATAATAACATATACATGTTTAATATTTTAATAAATTAAGTGTATGTGCTTATAATATTTGCCAAATGCATGTATTAAATGAAACAATGCATTTCTTTAGGGTAAGACATTTTTCAGAAAAATGATTGTAGGTTCCTTCAACAGAATGTGATTCTCACCCTCCCCACCCCACCCCTTGTGCATCTGGATCACCAGGGGTGATTTCAAAGAATACTACTGCCCAGGCTGTGCCGCAAGAGACGAGTTTTCAACTGGTCTTGGATAGGGTCCAGACATTGGTTTGTTTGTTTGTTTTTAAGTTCTCTAGGTAATTATTTTGTGTAGCTTGGATTGATAACAACTAAAACAATTATAATACACAACTGAAATTTTATTATTAAGTTCCCTGAATTTAATATACATTACTTTAGTATACTTTAAAATATACATCTTTAGCATACATAAGACTTTCAAGGTTAAGAATGCTATTTGGAAAAAAAAAAAAAAGAATGCTATTTGGGTGAAGACTGGTCTGATTTAAGGAATCATGAGTATAAAGTATCTTTATGCTATTAGGATGACAAAGATTTAAAAATAATGATAAAACACAGTGTTGGTGAGAAAAATGAGTGCTGCCTACATTGTTTATAGAAATATAAATTGAATATATATTGATCATCTTCACTGGAGGCAGTCTGACAATGTCTATCCAGAGCTTTAAAAATATGTAAACGCTTTGTCCCTGGAATTCCACTTTTAAGAATTGTCCCTTAGAAAATAATTGAGCATATTGGCAAAGATGAGTTAATGTTTATCATAGTGTTGCTTGAAATAGTAGAAGATTGTAAACAATCGAAATATCCACAACAATGGATTGAATAAATTATGTATATCCATACATGATACTAGTAAAATGGATCTATAGTTAACATGGAAGGATATTCACAATATATTGATAAATGAAAAAAAGTTACAGAACAATACGATTCCATTTTTGTTAAAAAATATATGTAACATGTATATATATGTCTGCATATGTATATACATATAGGTGGGAAAAGCCCAGAAAACTATACACTAAAATATTAATAGTTATCTACATAGGTACTTTTTATTTTCTGTTTTGTATTCTCATGCATATTCTATTTGGGGGGTTTTTTTCCACTAAAAGAAAGTGCTGGTATTATAAATATAGAACAAAAACTTTTTTTTAATGTAAAAATATATTTTGAAAAATGAAGCATTGTTACTTTTATCTACCCAATTGAATGGACTACAACACAACTTCCTCCATTTTCACCTTGTCTGGTTGTGAAAGACAAAATATTTGATAGTTAGAAACAGGTATTGCTTAAAGTACTAAGCTTCTTCAATATATTCATGTTCAAAGTAAGTCAAGAAGTATGAAGTCAAACTAGTTTCATTAACATGTCAAATCATCTCTAATTACAGTTTATCTGGCTAGAATCTACAGAGGACATGTAAAATATTATTTGAAATGTATCTTGATGTATTTTTATAGAGTTGTCTTCCTTAACATCCATAATTAATAAGTGGGTTTTTTTCCCTTTATTTTAGGCGGTTCAGGACCATCATCCTCCATAGCCATAGCTGGCACCAACCACCCTGCCATCACAAAGACAACATCTGTCCTTCAAGACGGCGTCATAGTCACCACCGCAGCTGGAAACCCACTGCAGAGTCAGCTGCCCATTGGGAGTGATTTTCCTTTTGTTGGCCAGGAGCACGCACTTCATTTTCCATCCAACAGCACTTCAAACAACCATCTTCCACACCCCTTGAACCCCAGCCTCCTCAGTTCTCTACCTATCTCTTTGCCAGTGAATCAACAGCATCTCCTAAACCAGAATCTATTAAATATCCTCCAGCCTTCAGCAGGAGAAGGCAAGTCTGAGATCAACCTCCACCCTTTAGGTTTTCTCAACCCGAATGTAAACGCTGCTTTAGCTTTTCTCTCCAGTGACATGGATGGGCAGGTATTGCAGCCTGTTCACTTTCAACTCTTAGCAGCCCTGCTTCAGAACCAAGCCCACGCAGCTGCCATGCTTCCCCTGCCATCTTTCAATCTGACCATCTCAGATCTTTTGCAACAGCAAAATACCCCTTTACCCTCATTAACACAGATGACAGCCCCACCAGACCATTTGCCAAGCAATCAGTCAGAGAACAGCCGAGCTGAGACCCTTTTAACCAGCCCCCTGGGGAACCCTTTACCAAGCTTTGCAGACAGTGACACTACTTTTAACCCCCTGTTCCTCCCAGCTGTCACTGGGGCCTCAGGATTAATGGCCTTGAATCCCCAGCTGTTGGGAGGTGTCCTGAACTCGGCATCGGCCAACACCGCTAATCATCCAGAGGTTTCCATAGCAACTTCTTCCCAGGCAACCACTACCACAACCACTACATCATCAGCAGTGGCAGCACTGACTGTCTCAACACTTGGTGGGACAGCAGTGGTGTCAATGGCAGAAACATTGCTGAATATATCTAATAATGCTGGGAATACACCTGGTCCAGCTAAACTGAACAGTAACTCTGTGGTGCCACAGCTACTTAACCCTCTACTGGGGACAGGTCTGCTTGGTAAGTTAAATTTTTTCACAAATTTTTACAAAAGAAACGTTTTTCTAATTCATTTTCTCCTTTTTAAAAAAAACTCCATTTTGTCACACTATTTTTAAAAATGTTTTTGTTATGTCACAGCTTGCTTAAGGAACTAAATATAATAACACCCACACACAACCATAGTTATACAAACATGAAAATGACTTCTTCCTTTTCCCCTATTCTAGCAGTACTAAATATCATTTTAATCTGCTTTCTCTTCTAATTCTGATGCCACCTAAACCTAACCTACCCATCATTGTCTTAAGCCAAGTAGAGTCTTATTTTTCAAATAATTAAAGCACAGGTGCACCTTAAAAATAACATTTATTTGAATTTTAGTTGGTGTGGCATCACAGGGCTAGTATGAGCAGCTGCACTGTGGATGAAAACGGTTTGAGGAAGTGTTTTTCCATGGGATCCCTAAATAAACAAAACTAAATGCTTATCCAGCAAAAGAAGAAGCAAGGCATAATAACATTCAAAGTTAAAGTTTGCCCAAGTTCAAGGAAACAGAAGGCCCCAATAGCTACTGCTAGGTTTTCTCAAACAGTATTATTCTTTAGAACTCTGTGGCTTAAAAACAAAATCCTTTATGTAGATTATCTTATCTCAAAAAATTTAGAAAATAATGTCAAGTATGTTCAGCTGTTTGATGTGAGTAATTGTAATATAAAGTATAGAGATGATGTCCATAAAGTCTGGAAACATAGGCAAATATACATGATGTTGTCAAGGGTATCTTCAGTATCTTAAAAAAATATGTTTCCAGATTTCATGGACACCTTTACAAAAAACTTTAATTAGTTCTATTTGGCAGTCAAATCAATGTAGTTAAGTAACCTACAAAGCATTACAGATTTACAGATTTCAAGCTATAGGGCAATTTCTATGACGTTATCCTCAAAATAATTTCAGTGTAATTTCAAAACAAGTTAATTTTGAATTTTGAATATAAATGTAGTTATTAACTAATCCTATCTGATTATATAATATTTATTTTTAATGACTGTGACAATGAATCCTTTTGTATTATTAGCTTTCTTTACAATTTTAGTTTTAGGTAACCAAAATACAAAATACATATTTTGTATAAAAAATACACATTAAAACAAAACAAAATACATCTTTCTAGACCAAATCTGATTTTATTTGATGGTATTTATTGATGACTGTGGCTTGAGAACTAAATTTTGTAAACAGGCCTGATCAGACCCACTTGTTTTAACTATCTTGTCAAATACTTATGCTTGCTACAGCAGTTAGGACTAATTTTAACTTTTAATTGTAGTTGCTCTAACAAAAATGGTTTCAAGGAATTCTATAACACTGAAAATCAATATATAAGGATTGGCTAGTGGATAGACCAAAGACTTAACTTGTCTCTCCATGATACAAAATCAAAACACTAATTGTGAAAGATGAAATTAAATAATAAAACTACTCTTTCCTTACCACTTAGTAAGACTTTGAGGAGAAAAAGAAAAAAGAATTACCATGTAAGTCTAGTTTTTAGTTTTTGTTTTAGGAATCCTCAACAAAGATAGGCATAGGACCTCCAAAGAATCACATTGACTTATATTTTATGTTTTTCAAACTATAGGTGACATGTCCTCAATAAACAGTACTTTGAATAACCATCAACTGACTCATCTACAGTCGCTGTTAAACAACAATCAGATGTTTCCTCCAAATCAGCAACAGCAGCAGATTCTTCAGGGGTACCAGAATCTCCAGGCTTTTCAAGGACAGTCCACAATTCCTTGCCCAGCTAACAATAACCCCATGGCTTGTCTGTTTCAGAACTTTCAGGTACTCTACTTCCCTGGGTTACTTTAGTAGAAAACAATATTTACTATTTGTTTTACTTAATTGGGGGGGAAGAGACGAAAGAAGGTAGTTATGTACCTTTTCACCTTTACTTACTATTATTTCTCAATAATGAATATTGTTAAACATTCCAGTTTTTTGTGTGAAGCATTTTATTTTGTCTGAAGCATATCACTGGTCCTTTTGGAGCTGTTAGTAAAAACTGATCATGTTACCCTGTTAAACACTTTTGTGGTTTCCCGTCGTTCCCATGATTAAAATCCACATCCTTAACATGCTTACCCTGCCTCACTCTCCAGCCCCAGCTCTCACCACTCTCTCCCTGGCTTCAGCCACATGGTCTTCTTTTAGTTCTACAAACTGAATAAATTCATGGTAGATTGAGGAGCTGGATGGAAAGAGTAACACTAAATAAATACATGAAAAAAATATAGAAGATTTTAAAATAATCTTGGGGTAGAGAAGCTTCATTCAGCAAGACACAAAACCAAGAAGTCAAAAAGGAAAGAGGTAACAGAATTGAATACATAAAACTTTAAAATCTGTATGACCAAAGGTATTCTAAACAAAGTTCAAGACAGGTGGCAACCTGGCAGAAAATACTTGCATAATAATAGCAAATAATTGCCATTCATAATATTTTTAAAGCCCCTACAAATTAGGAAGAAAAAAGATAATTGATTTGAAAAATGAGCAATAGAAATGAACAGACAATTCAGAGAAAATTAAATAATAATTAGTAATAAACATGAAAAGAATAATCAGAGTTATATAAATTACAACATTACTATGTTCATCAGATTGATGATATCCCTTGCTGACAGAGGCATGGGAAAATGGATTCTTTCAGATATATGTTTGTCTGATTGTATGCTGATATAGTCCTTTTGGAGGGTAATTTGATAGTTCAGCAGTTTAAAAAAATATATATATATATACATATACATATACATATATACACACACCTCCTTTGACCCAGAAGTTCAACTTCTATGTATCTATTTTAGAGAAATCTTCAAATGTGAACAAAAGGGCACAGTCTAGAATGTTCATTACAACTTGATTTGTGGCGTCAAAAATTAGAAACCACTTAAGCAACCATCAGGAGGAAAATAGTAAAATATGTTATGCTATATCCATCTATCTAGTAGTTTACAAGATTAGATAGATTTATATAATCTGATATAGAAGATCCACAAGATTACAGAGCTCCAATACTGTAGTATTATAGAACAGTACTAAAATATAATACCATTTATGTGAAAGAAAGAAAGAAGGCAGGAAGAAAGGAAGGAATGGAAGAAAGAAGGGAGACTAGATATACACCTACACACCTTAAGGTGTTAAACACAAGTCTGCAAGGATGCACTAGAACATTGATTACTTCTGAGAAAGAAATGGCATCAGAGTGGCATGCAAAAGTACAGATTTGGGTGGGGAAGTGATGAAAGCTCTTCTCTTTTCTGACAATGAGAAAATGTTCATATATATCTTATATAATAAAAGAATTTAGAAGGAAAGAGGACGTGCTCAACCATGTCACTGAGTAAATAGGTAGATAAAGCCTGAAGGGACTCCATTAGATTTAGCAGTAAGAGCATCACCAGTGACTTGGTGGAATGCAGTTTTGCTGGAGTTGTGGGAGCAGGAACCAGACTGCAATGAATGTAAGGATGAGAAAAGAAAGAGTATGGATTACTCTTTCAAAAACTTTCAAAAACTTAACTATGAAGAACATATGAGAAACAAGGTAGTGCCCCAAGGCGGGTGTAGGTTGAATGCAAACTTGTAAAATATGGAAGCCACGCACATAGGTGAATGCTAAAGGAAAGAGGCCAAAAAAAGTGGAAGAGATTGAACATAAAGAAGAAAAGGGGTAACAGATAAGGCAAGATCCCTGAGGAGAGGCTTGGGATCAAGAACGTGAATGGAGGACGACTCTCAGAGAGTAGAAGGGGCTCCTCTTACACTGGGAAGCAGGACAGGATCAGGGACACATATACTGCAGAGAAGTGTGTGCTGCCAGAAGGCAGGGAATAGCAGAGTATAAGAATTATGAGAATTCTTAACCTGTGAACTTCATTATCTCTAAGTAAGGTCATTTCCTAAGAATACTGTGGGATATGGTATAGCAGCTGGCTTGAGGAAGTGGATAAATACCTGAATAGTTGTGAGAGGGAGTGATACCTAACCAGAGAATCATAGGATTGATGGGAACGTAAGCCCCCAGCTGTGGTTGGAAGCCATAAGTTCCTGTGGATAGATACTCAGCATCCTCACTGTACATATAGATATATAAGGTAGAGAGTTAAATTGATCCAAGATTGGGATTTTATCTGATAGGTGTAGACAAGGGGAGAATGGCATGAGAGTAGTTATGTGCTGATAGATCCCAGGTTCTGGTTTAGTAGGAAAGGATATAAAGACAGGAAGGGAGTGATCACTGTGGGGGAAAAATCCAAAGTATCAAGGGTGTATAGCAGCAATTCTTAGCTGAGGTTGGTGAAATTGGAATAACCTGTGGACTTTTTCAAATTGCACTCATCATTCCTGTCCTGAGTATTGATATTCTTCCCTGGCGGGCATTCCCTCCCTTCACCTCTTCCCAATTAAGCATCACCTCTGTAGCGAGCCATTGTCACTGTTGGCAGCATGGGGGTGTCCCTCAGGCAGTGGCCTGGTAAGGTTCAAGAGTAGGCATTACTACCCTATTTAAAGACTTCAAAAATTTAGTGTCATATCAGAAATAGTTTATTGTTAAGAAAGGGGTATATGTATTTTGTTTTGTTTTATCTTATATTGTATTTCACTTAGATCAGTAGAAATATCAGTGAGTTAGAAATCATTTTTAAATCTGCTTTCCTTTTTAATTTGAGCAGTGCTGGTGACAGATTTGTTTCTCTCTTTGAATTCCAAGTTGCAAAACCTGTAATGACACTGAAAACATGGAGTCATCACCTGGCAACATTTTGGTTTTGTTGTTGTTTTTTTTTTGTGGTACGCGGGCTTCTCACTGTTGTGGCCTCTCCCGTTGCGGAGCACAGGCGCAGGCCCAGCGGCCATGGCTCACGGGCCCAGCCTCTCCGCGGCATGTGGGATCCTCCCGGACCGGGGCACGAACCCATGTCCCCTGCTTCGGCAGGCGGACTCTCAACCACTGCGCCACCAGGGAAGCCCACCTGGAAACATTTTGTATCCAACCACCTCAACTTTAGTTTTCCTAGAGAATGTTTAGTAATGATGATTTTTTAAAAAAACCTGTTACATGTTTTAATCAAAGAAACTGTACCCAAATATAATCAAGACATAAGCCTTTCTATACAGAGTGACTTTTAATTTCATTTTTGAGTCTTGTTCTTTCTTTATATTGCCTTCCTTGTTATATTTGTTTGTCTTCTGGTAAATCTTAAAATTATGGTCTTTCTCTTTAAGGACTTGAATATTTTTTTCTCTCTCTCTCACTTCTTCCTGTCTATTTCTTTAAGGTGAGAATGCAGGAAGATGCAGCTCTCCTAAACAAAAGAAAAAGCACTCAGCCGGGGCTCACAGCACTTCCCGAAAATCCAAACACTACACTTCCACCTTTCCAAGATACATCTTGTGAGTTGCAATCGCGGATTGACCCATCTCTTGGTCAACAGGTGAAGGATGGCCTCATTGTGGGTGGCCAAGGTGATGCTTCCATAGATGCTATTTACAAAGCAGTTGTTGATGCAGCCAGCAAAGGAATGCAGGTTGTCATCACCACTGCAGTCAACAGTACGACTCAGATCAGCCCCATTCCAGCTCTGAGTGCCATGAGTGCCTTCACTGCTTCAGTTGGTGACCCATTAAGTCTCCCCAGTGCTGTCAGTGCGGTCATTCATGGACGAAACATGGGCAGTGTTGATCATGATGGTAGGCTGAGAAGTGTAAGAGGGGCTCGGCTGCCCAGCAATCTGGACCATGGGAAAAACTCAAACGAAGGAGATGGGTTTGAATATTTCAAGTCGGCAAGTTGCCACACATCTAAAAAACAGTGGGATGGGGAGCAAAGCCCTGGAGGGGAGCGAAACAGGTGGAAGTGTGAGGAATTTTTAGATCATCCAGGCCATGTCCACAATAGTCCTTGTCACGAAAGACTCAACAATGTCTCTACACTGCCATTTCTGCCTGGGGAACAGCACCCAATACTGTTACCATCAAGAAACTGTCAAGGGGATAAAATTCTGGAGGAAAATTTCAGGTATAATAACTACAAAAGAACTATGATGAGTTTTAAGGAGAGACTAGAGAACACTGTGGAAAGATGTACACACATCAATGGGAACAGACCTCGACAGAGTCGGGGCTTTGGAGAGCTGCTGAGCACCACAAAGCAAGACCTGGTCCTAGAGGAGCAATCTCCGAGCTCCTCAAATAGTTTGGAAAGTTCTCTGGTCAAAGACTACATCCATTACAATGGAGACTTTAATGCCAAAAGCATTAACGGGTGTGTACCTAGCCCTTCAGACGCTAAAAGCATTAGTAGTGAAGATGACCTAAGGAATCCAGACTCCCCCTCTTCAAATGAATTGATACATTATAGGCCAAGGACGTTCAACGTTGGCGACTTGGTCTGGGGCCAAATCAAAGGACTGACTTCCTGGCCTGGAAAATTAGTAAGAGAAGACGACGTTCACAGTTCTTGTCAACAAAGCCCCGAGGAAGGGAAGGTATACCAATCTTTATCCATTGTCAAATACTAACCTTTGTTCAGATATCAATTATTATTTTTTGTTATCATCACTTTGGATTCTTCATGACTCATTGAGGTCTCACAAACTTCTGGAGCATAAAATGAAGAGGGGATGGTTGTAGTCACCAAAATGTCGTATCGTCAAGGGGTGAGTTGTGAAGCATTTGTAGATCCCACTAGGGCTCAGGGTGGCTCTAACCCAGGAACCAGATTTCCAGAATTTTGTTAACTTTGCCTTCCTTCCTTGCATGTACCTAATTCTTCATTCATACACAGAGAATGAAGGCAAGTGGCAATGATGGGAGAAAAAAAAATATGGTGGTTGCTGGAAACCAACAGTGTGGCAGAGGTAGGGGTCCTCCCAGGCAGCAGGAAGTGCCAGGGGACTGCATCTCTCCCGTATGCTGACATGTGACACATAGAGCTGGCGAGAGGGTAAAATTGGGGTGGAGTTGCAGCCATTTCTGGAAGCAGCAGGTAACATCTGAGTTCAGAATGGAGTCTCCTTTCAGGAAACGTTCTGGGTCTTTATAACATATGGAAATGTTTAACCCCATAGTCTGGTTCTACTTAACACAATCTGATCACATAAATTCAATGAAAACTTCTCCATGAAACTACCATTCAACTTAGAAGAAATTAGTAGGGGTCTTCTGAGCTTCTTTTTCCCCCTCACAATTGGTAGAATTGACTCACTAGGCAAGAAATATGCAGAATGTTTAAAGTAGATAGAAAAATTTATATCCGAGCAGGAGGAGATAATAATGTACATTCCCCACGTATGATGAAGAAACATGTAATTTTTCATCTCCTTAGGAAATAAAAATTCCTCTTACAGGTATATATTATTCTCTTAAAGAGTATATTGTATAAAGCTCTTTCAACTCTGCTCAAACCTCCACTGGCATTTAGGTTTCATGGCAAAGGAAACCAAAAGCATTCTTGCCAGCACAATAAAAGGATTGTCCTTCTCCAAATGACCAGGAGGTCCTTTAACCCGTTGCTTATAATGCCTAATATATACTTGTCAGGATACACTCTGGGCATAATGTTTCTACCTTTGATAAGAAAATGAATTCCATACTCCTATTCACAAAACATTTTATTCTTTAATCTCTCTGAGACCAGACAATCATTCTTTAGGTTGATAAACCTAAATATTTTTGACAGTTTATTCAAAATATAATTAGAAACAGCAAAACTGGGCTTTTATGATATAAACGGACCTGCTACACATACAAGATGTAGACATTAAACTGTTTTATAATCTCTGTGCAAATGAAACCAAGTCTTTTTTGCGTGCCATTTTACCAAAAAAAAGCTTAACTAAGGAAAAGATTATGGCCTCACTTTCCTGGAAACATTCTTCCTGTCCTAAATGACTTGTCTAAATATCTTTTTATGTCCTCAGGAGAATAAAGGCATGTACTTTCAACACATTTCACATTAAACAGTGGTCCAAATCTTCTGCTTAGTCTGTGTTAGCAAATCCCTGAGGTTTGAGTTCCTCACTGATGTTTAAGGAGATGCACTTAAAAAAAAAGAAATCATTATCTAAGAGTCCAAGAAACATTTATTTTACTTTATTTAAATACTCGACTGATTTTCAGTCACTGTAAAAGTGGTTCAAAAATCCAGATTCTTCTTCTTTATTATAGACAATAGGTGGATTCCTAATAGAGAGCATAAAATTGTTTCTGTAAATTCAAATATCCCCCCTCCCATTGGCTGACATTGTAATTTTGCATTCTCAAAACTTTGATATCAAAATCTTGATATCAAGATACACTAAAAATACTTCCAATAAATCAGAAAAAGTAATTGAAAGCAAACATTTAGAGGTGAAAAACTGAAAATTTATAATAAAATATTAATGATAACACATGAAATATTTATCTGTCATCAAAAATCAAGGTATAACAGCCTTAAAAGCTCTAGGGCACTTAACATTTAAAAAAAACCTCTGGTCTTTTCAGGACCTACCTCACTTTTGCACATAAAAAAACAAAGTGCTATTTCACAAACCCTTTTTCCCCCTATAGTTCACCAAACAAAGGAAAGGCTTCCTCATAGCTTATTTAATGATGCCCAGCTAGCCAAACCCTGTTCTCAGTTGATAATACCAAGAAAGGTGAAATTTCAAACACAGATCTCTCTGACTTCAAGCCAGATGTCCTCTGCCTCATGTCTTGGTGATCCTGGTCTACCTAGAAAAGACTAAACTATGGTTAATATCTGTGTAAGACAAAGTATGATCTATTTGAAAAGATCTCCTATAAAACATGTTTTACAGTAAAATTGGTTTAAAATTGTGAACCAATTATAATGTAAATTTTATTTACATAGAACTCCTTAGTCCTCACAATATTGGATAAAGTCTTCTGCGTTTATAACTAGACTTCTGCTTTTAGAAAGGTAAGCAGGGTATTAGGTTTCCTTCCATATACTGCCTGACATTTTAATGAAGACAAGAGAGGAAGACAGAGACTGACTTCATAAACTATTTGTTTATTATAGTAAAATCTTATTAATTCTGTCTTGCTGATGTGGAATGTGGGACCATTTCCCCCAGTATGTGCCTCTGTAGTATCTCAGAAGAAAAGGTTCGCTAAACAGTTTGCTTACACATGATTATTTAAAACCTTCTTAGCCTCTCAGATTTTCATATTAGTATTTCTGTGTCCACCCAAGTATGTAACTTAATCCAAGATCCTGTCAGATCCCACCAGATAAAATCTGTGTTAACTCAAGTTTTAGAATAGATTTATTATCTTACCTCCTCCCATCCCTCACATCTCACAAACTTATCATTTGTTTTCTGTTACAATCTTTGTTCTCAGCAAGTCACTTCAAATCCTTTTCGGAAGCAGGCAAAGTAGAAAAAATAATAATAATTAATGAACACAATTGCAGGTTACTAGTTCAGAGCAAGCCAGGCCCCTCTCTTGTTTTCAGGTTGCAGGAGTGGTCTCTGGACTGAGAGGTCAGGGCTGTGATTGGAGCAGGCGCTGAGATCTCCAAGTTGTCCATAACCTGATACTTTAGCCAACTGTTTGTCATGATAGTAAATGACTTGGTCAGCTTAGAAAGACATTTTTAATCTTCCGTGGGGTGTTAAATGTAGCAGAATTACTAATAATGCATTAGAAATGTCCTGCAATTTCTGAGATTCCTTTCTAGGAGGTATGATTTCTACATATCAAATACTGTGTGAACACAGTCCTCAGAGAACTAGAGAGAAAGCCAGATGTGGCAAAAAGAGGCCTGGGCTTCGGGCATTCTTGTGTGGGCTTAAACTCACCTCTGCCAGTTACCTAAATGGTCCTGAATAGGTATATTAATCTCCAGAGCTGAAATCTCCTCACTGCTCAAGTGGGAATATTAATTCCTACTCAGAATGATGTTTAAGAATTAAATGCATTACCGTAAATAGAAGGTACACAAAAGAGGCTCAGTAAAAGTTAGCCTCCTCCTCTCTGTTGTCTATATTAAACAACCTTATGTATATGTGCTGCTGAAGCAAGCCCTGTATTAAACAGCCTTAGGAATTTGGATTCCACCATTATAGAACTGTGGTCATTTGACCTTCATTATTGTTTACCTATGCATTATCTGTGTAAAAAGGACTTACTAACCAGGCTGGGGGTGAAAGGGTAATAATAACATATTTAATGAATGAAATAGTTTATAACTATTTTTTCCGAACCTCAGGACGTTGCATACAAATTGTCATATCTGATTATAAATTACTATTAGCTGTTCATTTTAAGCAGGAGTTCTACTTGGAAGCATTTTAAAGCACTTAGTTTGTTGAGTGAATTTGAAAGCCCCCCTCTCCTCAATGTTTCTAAACACTATAAACTCAGACTTTCTTCCTCTACCTTCCTACCCCACAAAACACTCAACAATAATTAGTAGAGATTTTTAAGTCTGTGTAAAGTTGCACTGAATCACCCCTATATAATACTGTCCCAATATTGAAGTTATGTGACAGCACCGAAGGACATTATGTGCCTTATATAATACCATTCAGGAAGTGGTATCTCCTTACTAATTCATTTTTTCCTTTGACTATCAGTTTGTAACGAAGTACATTCTAGAAGATATTTATACTTTTTCTAAAGAAGTGGTACCAGCTTCTATCTGAGCCATGAACCCTTTATAGTTTCAGATTTAGTGGCCAAGAATAAGACCTCAGTGCTTAGTCATGGCTGGAGAAATGTACTGCCAGATCTTGGCACAGTATTAAGGAATTCTTGGAAAGGAAAATGGCTTCCACTGGCATTATACCTATACACTATGATGTACAAACATTTTAAGCCTGTGCAACTATGGGGGGTAGTGGTTATCTTTATGTATTTATTTCAATAACTATTTTAAAACAGGAAAAAATGCTCTTTTTTTCTAAGATATATTTTGTAATTATCATCCACCATCTTTGATCTTACATTAACTAGCCTAAAAGGATTGACTATCAAGTAATAATCAAAAAATAAAATTCTTATTTTTTTCTGAGTAGATTATTTTTACTCTTTTTGCACACTGTCCCATTGGTCTTCATATTTCATTGTTACATTCGATGTGTGTTCTGACTCAAGCCAAATTTAGGAAAGAATTTATTTCTATATTGGCACCAAAATGTTCCCTTTCAGTGAAATGTTTGTTGCTGTTGGACAGGTAGAGACATCTCCTGATTACCCAGAAAAGTTCTCCATGTTGGTTCAACACCACTTGGTTAAATGAAGACGTTTTTAAAAGCAATGGGTAGGGTGCTCATTCTCTAGACTCACACTTTGACTTTTTTCCACATGGTTATATTTGACAGGTGGAGATTAAAGTAGCTCTCTGAATGGTTGTTTAAAACAGAAAGAACTCATCATTATTAAAACTCATGCCAAATTTTTTTTGACACAATCACTTTCTGTATGTCAGTTCAGTATCACATGCACTCACGTTTTGATGTTATGGAGCAAAACC